ATTGAATAGGAAGCACATTTTTACCCATTTAAAACAAATTTTGTTTTTTCTAGATTTCAATTTCCAAAAGCCTTTCTGGTAAGTTTTGTCAAACTATTACAGTCTCATATTGCACTGTGGGCCTTGGTGTTCATATATCTTGATCTTTGGTTTTAGTGGAAATCCCAGTGAATTAATGGTAGACCTGGAACTGCACTCAAATGCTGTTCAATGTTTATACTTTGCCCTATGCTGAGCTCTATGCTTAACTAGAGAATTATATTTTGTTTTAATTTACTGGAAAACTTTTCAAGATTCCTTCATTGCTTTAGCGAATGCCTGACTATGGACTATAACATATTCATTCATGTAAAAATTTTGGTTGTTACTGATATTATTTTTCTACTAACAGCCTTGAAAAAAAAAGGTTTATGGAGTATAGCCTACACGTTTAAAAAAACACATATTCTTTTTGTTCTTTAAATCAGTTTGATATAATAGTGTCATATGTGAGGCTATTTCATTATCAATAAAAAAGCCACCTGCATACTGAATTTTTAGTTCAGCACAGATGATGATAAAGTCTTATAAAGATAAACATGCCTAAACAAAAACAAATCCCAGAAATATGTGTTTAAATAGAACATAAAATATAGAATTAAACAGTAAAGTTTTAAAATCAATCTAACTTTTTTAAGTGTTAAAAAAGACATAAGCAAATTATTTTAAAAAAAACACGTTGCAAAGTTGAACTCTCTCCTCTACCAAATGCTAGCCATTACTGCTGAAACTGCCTTATTGTAGATTTCTGATATTTCAGAAACTACTGGGAAGTAACTATATTTATTTTGCTCAGTAATTCACAAATACACATGGAATCAAAGCTCAACCCAAAGTATAGTTCGCACTGGATACTTGTTATTCCTTGATTCCTTTCTAAAACAAACTTTTTAGGAGTCCCTGCTATGATGATGGTGCATTTGCGCACCTCTTGGAATAAATAATGTACAGGAATCATTCAAATGCATATTCAGTGGGAAGCCATCTGGCTCCATGTGAATTTATGAATATTTTAGCTTGCTCAGCTAGTCAAAAGTAAAATCTGGCACTTGGGATTATCATGTAGATATGGAACAGTATTATAATAAAAAATTTCTCTTCTACCAATCATGATTGACACATCTATTAAAGTATAGTTTTGTAACCGGACAATCTCAATGGGTCCATGCTGCCTGTCACTACTTGAGCCAATTGAGCAAAGACAGGTTGAATCATATATGATCATTTATTCCCATACTGCTGGCAGTATGGGAGAGCAGCAGGCCACCCACAAAATTCTGTGCTGCCTCTCCCCATAAGCCAGCTGCTTATATTGGGTAGAAGAACAAAGAATACATGGGGAAGTAGGCAAAAGAGTATGCCAAACAGGTAATGCAGACTGGAGATTTGCAAAGGCCTGTGGGTATGCAAAGGCTGGGGGTCTTCAACGGGCTGGAAGCTCTGGTTTCTGCAACAAGGTTGTTAATCTTTCTATGATAATAGGCAGCTCCCTAATGGAAAGGATAGGCTGCATTTCCAGGTGAGGTCCCAGGTCTCATGGGTAACTCCCAGCCAGGTTAAAATGTGCCTTCTTTAATCAGAACAAAACAATCACAGTTAACAAAACATGATTAATATTTCTTACAATTATAGCTGGTCCCCAATATTCTATTTCTGACCCCTATCGGTTTCATCATGGATTGAGTCTATTTAAACCATGTACAATGTTGCTTTGTTTGGAAGTTATCATAATTCTACTTGAATTAGAACATGTGATGTTTTATTAAAATAGTTATAATAAAACGAAATTTTGGCATTGGGTTGGACTTTATAGGTTTTTTTGTAGTGGGCACCCAGATTGGGTTGGACTTTATAGGTTTTTTGTAGTGGGCACCCAGATTGGGTTGGACTTTATAGGTTTTGTGACGTGACACCCAGATCTTTCTTCAATGAAGGGCTTATTACCTCATCTACTGGGAGTGCTGTCAGTAAAGAGCTTTCATCTGTCAGCCCTATTCACAAATTGTCTCAACCACAGAGCGCTACAACACCCAAGGCGCTCCTCCCCAAGTTGCCCACATCCCATAATGATTAATATGTGGTATAACTTGTGGCCACTCAGGTCCAACTCTAAACAGTACTGAAGTGCCATTCTAGAATCACAACTCCTGGAGGCTATCATCGGGCCTGCAGCACAACTTGAATTCTCCTGTCTGCATAATTCTGCTTCTGTCCCCTTCCTTGTGAAAGGGTTAATCAAGAAACAGGGCTAACTTAGCAGGGGCTAACTAAAGAAAGCTCATTCTACAAGCCTAAGCCTTGCACAAACATGCTCCCTTTGAGTGATTAATTTACAGAAATGCCTGAAGACTATAATTCCTGTACAGCCATCCGAAGGAAGGACGCCTGGTGCCAGCAGAAGGACAAAGGGCAAGGCCATAAAACTATGATCCTGACAGGTGTGTCAAACCGAAGCCCTGTCTGTAGCTCTCCCTGAGCACATAAAAAGCCTGCTCCCTCCCCAATTCACCACTGGCTCTTTCTCCAGTCAGACCACCTGCACCCAGGTGCCTCAAATAAATATCATTTTGATTACACTGAGCCTTGAGTCTGTTCTGCGTGACCCCTTCCCAACCCCAAAGGTTTCACTTGTACAATTACTAATCCTAAGGGCACTCCTTAAGAAATATACTGCACTTAAAACTCCATCTCAGATTCTGCTTTCCAGGAAACTCAACCGGTAGCCATTATCTAACCCTACCTCTTACCTAAAACAAGAACTTCTTGGGAAAACTCTTGGTAAATGCCTTTCAGTCACTTTGCACAAACACTTCTGGTATTATGAAGTTTTATTATCTCATAAGGCAACCCACTCTACTATCGGATAAAGTTATTTCTAATATTGTATAAACATTTTCTTCCTTCTAACATCTCGAATCATATAAAACCAACTTTATCATTGTACTGATACAATCATTAATGTGTTAAATGGTATTTTAATCCATGCTTACAATTTATGGGAGATATATATTTTAACTTTTTTGAGAGTACTTTGGTAATTAGAAATGTAGCAAAGTTGATACCACATTGATCTATAAGAACATATGATATTCCAAAGGAGTAAATGTGAATAGAGAAACCTAAACCAAAAGGCCTGTGACCTTCCTGTGATATAAAGTAAGGATGATGACGGGAAACAAGTTAAGGAGACTTGAAGAGTGACAAATGAGTTGGGAAAAGAGCCAGCAGTGTGGACTTTCTTGAAGCTAAATAGAAAATGCATTTCAAAGGAGTGATCCAGACAAATACTACTGAAAGATCAGAACCAGAAAGAATACTGGGAATTCTCAGAAAGCACTGGGAATTCTGAGAAAAGGTTCATTGGAGTGGAGGTTGGGAATGGCGGCTAAAGCCTGACTGAACCGAGCTGTAGAGGGAATGGAAGAAAAGGTATTGGAGATGGAAGTGTAGACATTATATGCTGTCCAGTAATTCACAGATACTTGAGAAACATTTTGAATATTCATGGGGTTTAGAATGGAGGTTGAGCTGATGTTGCATGTATAGTATCTAAAAGGGAAGCAAAATTCCTGTAAACAAACAAACAAAAAACCAACAACAATGTGTGTGGTAAAGAGACTGCAGACCATTTATCACCAAGCAAAACTTCACAGAAAAAGAAGTGGAGCATGTTAGAAAGTAGCATGAATCATCATCCTAAAAGGCAGTCTTCAGGGAAGCAAAATGAGATAGAGATCAAATCAGTGACGCAGTATTGAGATGGCCACGATATTCTTTTTCCCTCAATACAACTTAATGCCAATCTGTTAAAATATCTTCCCTTTGCAGTTTCTCTGCAAATTTGCTCTCACACACAATGATAAGAATTAGATGATAGTTTGTTATTACTGCACAAAAATAGACGTTATATAGTGGTGAATGGTAACTTGAACAGGGTTGAGAGAAGTGGGCAGATTTTGGTTATGTTTCAATGTGTAGATTGCACTGACTTGAAGAACTGGATAAAAAGTATGTGAGATATCATGAATGACTTCTATGTTCTTGCCTTGAATAATTTGGTGGATGACTGGGATATTTATCTAGATGAAAAGATCATTAGGATTGATAGGTAGAAGATGAGAGCTATCTCAAGAGAGATGTCTATTGGATTTTTTTCTCTGAGGGAGAGGTATGAAGCAGGCAGGTATATATACAAAGCTAGAATTCAGTGTTGAATATATTATGATGACTAGTAAAGAACCCTTCAAAACCACTGTAAATAAAAGATAAAAGAGACTGTATCCTGATGATAGAATATGGCTAAAAGAAGTTTTGCTTTTCTTGTTATTTATTTTTATCTTTTGGGAAATTACAGCATGTTTGTAGTCTAGAGGTATGGAGAAAGATGGATCGCAGATACCAGAAGCATAGATAATTTTGTAAACTGCTCCTTCTCTAGAGAACTTAAGGCAAATATTTATTTTGCATTTAAACATCTGCAGTTGTATAAAGTAAAAAAGAATTTCTCTAAAACGCTACACTTTCTATCTCCCTTCTCATAGGCTAGATTCTACCCACAGCTTTTAATTTGAGAGGATAATGGTTAATTAGAAACTCTATCAACTTTAAGCAATTATAATGAGTGATGATCTTTCTTACTAAATTTCATTAAAAATTGATCCCAGTGATATATAGGTAGTGAATTTTATAAGTTAATTTATGACCTCATCAGTGTGCCTATACATTTAAAATCTGCACTTGGACCACTTGTTATAATCATAATTATTTCTTTGTATATTAAAAGTTTTCTGGTTCTAGATTTCATTAAAAATGTTTAAAAGTTCTCTTTAGAACAGCATATTGGTGAATATAATTTACTTTCTCAAACCCCAAGGCTAAAAATAATAGGAAAGAAACCAATCATGTAAAACTTCATTTAGTAGTGCAACATTTCTCAACCTGCAAATGAAAAGAATACTTACTTGATTTCCAGAGTTGTGTTTTAAAACATTTTTTTTGCCTCAAGATGTAAATGCTTTAATTCTTTTCAGAGCAATGGGATGATGCTCTCTTATAATGAAAACTAACGTGAACCATCTGATTGTTCTGCAGAGAGAAAAGAATGGTTACCAGTGAAGAAAAGACATTAAAAAAATCCATTTACATTACTTATCCACAGAGTTGGTTGTAGCAAAGATTTTAACAGCCTTTAAGGAGGCTGGAGATTGAACATGCTGATCTGTGTAACACACCATAGAACAGTGCCCGAAGAATATAGACAGAGTTTAGATTGTTTCTGTGATGCATTGAAGCACAATTGAAGGAATATAATTCTGGCACAGAGAGCAGGGAAATGACAGTAGATGGATTGCACCAGTCTGCAGCAATCAGAGATAAATTGCTCTGTTTGAATTTTATACTTTGGAAGGCTACTAGGTTCCTATACCCAGAGGCTTCAAAAGATAGACTATTTGCTCAAACCAGCCCAGAAGGAAACATTAAGTCTGTTAGTTTCAATCAGTTACTTGCATGTGCGATAATGCCCTTGGGATGAATATCTTTAGACACGAATGTCAATAATCAAACAGCCTTACAGGTGGGTGATAATTGTGGCTAATTCACAGGCATCCCCTACCTTCACCTTTTGCAAATATCAATGCAGTAGGCAATCAGCAGCTTCTTACTCTTTTGTTCCAAAATTAAACTTTATTTATTGATTTTAGAGCAAGAGGTGGGGCGAGAAAGGGAAAAGAGAGAAGAGAGAGAGGGAGAGGGAGGAAGAGAGAGAAACATTCATTTGTTTTTCAACTTATTTATGCATTCATTTGTTGATTCTTGTATGTGCCCTGACCAAGAAGAGAACCCTCAACATTGGTGTATCAGAATGACACTCTAACCAACTGAGCTGCCTGTTCAGGGGTTTATTCCAGTTTTTATCCTGACACCAAATTACATTCTACTGGACTATAGCAAAACTGGCAAGTTTGACTATGTGGCAATTTGGTTGTGGCTTATGAAACTAGCTGTCAGGGACAGATACGGGTCCTTCCCCACCAGAGACTGCTGCAATTGGCCCCTCATAATATATTACAAAACCTAAATAGAAATTTCTGTGAATATAAACAAACAGAAATATGAAGAACATGAAGATTAGTATGTCATATGGAGCTTAGCACATTGATATTAAAGGGAAGGAGAATGTGCGTTAACCTTTGACAAAGTTCAATAGAAGTAATATTAATAATACACTTCTACCAAGTACAAACAATAAAAATTGTTTCTCGACTTCTATAGAAATTGGCTTTTTCTAAACAAAATTTTAGAGGTACAAAATATTAAACAAGTAACTAGTAATTGCTTCAGTTATTTCATGTGCACTAAATGAATTTTAAAATGTATTTTGCAAGTGAATTTATAAAGGTCTTTCTTTTAATAACTTAGTTCTTTTTAATTTTTTTGTTTAAATCTTTATTGTTAAGAGTGTTATAAATGTCCCCTACCTCTCCTCCCATTTGCTCCCCTCCAACCAGTTTCCACCCGACACCAGGCATTCAGCACCCTACTGTCTGCGTCCCTAGGTAATGCATATATGCACATAAGATTTTTGGTTAATCTCGTCCCACCACCCCTCTTCCCTACCCTCTGAGATTTATCAGTCTGTTCCATGTTTCCATGCCTTTGGCTCTATTTTATTCATCAGTTTATTTTGTTCATTATACTTCTTGTTCCAGAGGCTCCTTACACTATCTTCATATTTTCGATTACTTCTACTTTTTGCTCTTCTGATTGGGAGGTTTTTGCTTCCTCATATTCTAAATCTTTGATTTGATTCTTGTAATACTGTACTGTTGAGTCCCTATAAATTATTTAATTCAGTTAGTGTATGCTTAATTTCTGACTGGTCCTTTTTCATGTCTTTGAAATTCTCATTACTATCTTAAAAGTTTCACTAAGTCCCATGAAGCTCTCATTAGGTCCCTTGAAACTCATTAGAATCCTTGAGTGATATTATGACCATTGTTTTGAACTCTGTGACCAGTAGTTTGCTTGCTTCCATTTCTTTCATCTGTGACCTGTTTCCTTGTCTCCACATTTTGGTTGCTTCTCTGTTTGTTTCTAGATATTAGGAAGAGTTGCTACGTCTCCTGGAATTGGTAGAGTGGCCTTGTGTAGTAGGTGTCCTGTACTCACCTGAGCTGGACACTCTATGTGTGCCTGGATGGGCTATGTGCACAGTCTTGTAGTTGAGCCTTGATTCTTTTTGGCATCACTGGAAGGCACTGACCTCCAGGCCAATTGGCTGTTGAGGACCAACTGCAACTACAATGGAAGAGATGCTGTGCAGGAGATCTATCTACAGAGCAAGACTTGCTTCAATGGGGCTTTGGTGCTCACTGAGTCTGTCCCTTGAGCATATCACTCATGGGTGTGGTAGAGTTGTAACCTGGTGTGATCTGAAGCTGTCCACCAGGTGCACTGGCTCTGGGTCTCCCAGGAGGTCCAGTCAGCCACTGCCACCTAGCAGGAGCTACAGAAGGATCTTCAGATAACTGCTACTTGTATTGAGCTTGGAAGTGCCCAGGCAAAGCCAAGCTGTGAAGCAAGACAGGCTGGAGCTAGTGCCAGGTCTTGGGCCTGTTATTAATAGGTATGGGGCATGCTGATGCCAGCTGCTGCTTGTTTAAGATATTTTAGTTAAGTCTGAAGCCTGATTCAGGATAGGCTATGCATATGGAAAAGCAGCTGCAGATTAGATGGGGCTGCAAATTGGATGGAGTAGGGTCTTAGGGAATCATCAGAATGGAGCAAACAGTGTGAACCAGGCTGATAGAAACTCAAATATGGCTTCCAGTCAGCTCTGCGGTGGGGGATGGTCCAGTACAGGAACAATGACCCCTGCAAGTACCCCTGTTTGGAAGAAGCTGCACCTGAGTTCCTGACAATCCAATTCCTCCCCATATGTCCCTAGATCCCCCAAAGCTGCTGCCCAGTGCAGGAACCCAGAGGGAGTGAGTCCAAGTAAGTTCATGTGCTGGCCCTTTAAGAGAAACTACGTGGGTCTCCAGTAGCTTCCATGTCACTCCGCCACAATCCCCACTGGGTTTTGCAACCCAAAATTATGGGGACTTCTTGCCACAGCTCTGGAACCGTCCTGTGGGTCTGGTATGGGGCTGAGACCCCTTGCTTCTCACAGGAGGCCTCTACAATGGAGATATCCCTCCCAATTAAAAAAAATTCCCCATGTGGATGTCGGAACAGCTGGTTCTACTCTTCTGCCCCCTGCCCCTCCCAGTTTCAATGTACTTTCTTCTTTACTTCTCTACTTGTAGGGGTTCTAGTCAGCCAGCTTTTATGTGGTTCTGAATATGGTTGTTCTGTGTTTTAGTTGTAATTTTGATGTGGTTGTGGGAGGCAGCAAGAACCGTGTTTACTTATGCTGCCATCTTGGTTCTCTATCCCTTAGTTCTTAACATAGTTGGAAACTGTTTCACTTAGCTAAATAACAACAAAAACTAACATCTAAAAATATTTCAGAGAGCTTTGAACAAATTTATTTTTTTGGCTTTTCTTTCCTTTTTAATTCTGCTAGACTATATACATCAAGGTGCCTAAATTCCAGGTCTCCAAGTTGCTCAAGTCCAGAGGACAACATGGTGTATGAAATGGCATCCCTGGTATTGTGCAGTACACCAGTTATCAGCTATATGTATACATTTTGCAGCAGGCAAAGTTTGGATTTCGGCTCTATGCTCAATTTGGTTATCTTTACTTAACATAGGAAATATTGTTTAGCCTCACATGAAAGATGAATAGACCACCACAGGTTCTGGGAGTTCTGCATTAATACCATTAAAAATTTGTGATTTTAAGCATATCATTTAGATTTTTGAGTTTTTATTTCAATTTTGTATATACATGGATACACATTCCTGATATCCTTTTTGCTTAGTTTGGTAAATAAATGCTTAAGGTAGAAGATTAATACCAAATGATGGATTTTGTTTTTCATGCCCTTCTTGGTCACTGTTAATTATTAACTCATCAATAAGTTAATACAATATGTTTAATTACACATTGTAGCTATCCTTTACAAAACTAGAGAGTATATGATTTAAGGGCTGTAATTTTATGAAATAAAATAATAAATCTAAGAAAATGTCCAATTTCTTACTTATACGTGCTCGGGATTATCACCTCACTGAATTAGGAACACTGTTGGTGATGCATAGATGGTACCACATACATCAAGTAATGCATCTCAAGGAAAGAGGCACTGACAAATTCCTGGGAAATGATAGTATTTCAGAGCAGCTAGAATCCAGACATTGTGCAGAATTATGCTTTAAACGGTGACCATCAATTTGTAAGAAACCGCTCCCTGACTGAGTAGAAGCCACATTCTTCTAGAGATATGATTAAATTGAGGCAAAAATGAAACTCCATTTTGTCAAATAGTATCAAAAACTTGCAAAACAGGTATCTGGAGTCCACTGCTTGAAATAAAACCTGGACAGTAATGTAATGGAGGCACTTAGGAAATGCATTTGACATTACAGAGGATGGTACTAGGTGGAAATGTGTGGACATCAATAAGTCTTCAATTGAAGAGTGCTTTAGAAAAAAAAAACTTGTCTCTAAATGTGAAGTTTGAGAACATAATTGACTATATTTCAATACTGCATTTTGATCCTTTATATGCATATGTAAGCAGGTAAAATAATAAAAATCTGTAAGTGCATTTAAAAGAGATCGCCAATAAATATAAAAAGTTCAAGTAACAAAGAAAGCATTGAGTAATATTTTATTGGTAACATTTTCTCTTTTTTGTGGAACATAAAATAATGGTGATTCTTAATAATTGATGGCCTTTTAGATTGTACAAAATTATATAGATTATACTGTGAAATACAATATTGAACATTTAATAAATGATAAACATAATATCCTCTGAAAACTGTGCAAGTAAATCAGTAAATGCTACACAGTAGCTACCATATATCTTTATTTTGTCCTTGCAAAGAACCTTTAAGAAAGAAAAAAACAAGACATAAATATGATAATTGAGAGTTACAGACAAGTTA